GAGCGACACGGTTGTAATACTGCCCAAGGAGATTACTCGTATGTTTTTTAATGTTGGCCTCAAGGTTGTAGAGTTCTAGATTTCAATCTACCATGCTCGGCGACAGTACAACAACACTGGCGGTTATCACCATCACCAGTTATGAACCAGTGATGAAGGTCAAACAGAGTAGCGTTGCAGTTTAGAAAGCAAGAGAGGGACATGAAAGAGCTCACTGTTGTCTTTCCTCTCTCTCCCACATCCTGTGTGGTACGTCCATCCCAGAGCAGAAAAAGAGTTCTGCATCTTCTCCCCTCCTACCTCCCTCTCATTCACACACCAAAACACGAGAGTGCTCAAGGAGAGCACATTTGGCGGTGTGAAGCACTGTTTTGTCTCCTAGTGCTGGCCTCTGCACTCTAGACCTTGTTTGAATGAATGTATTGCATAGCAACAAGCGTGTTTACAACGATCCCCATCCGCTAAGACATTGCTCATGCAGCACACAAGGGGGAGTTTGTGGTTTTAACCCAAGTACAAATTTGAAGAAATCAGTTAAGATCCAGCATTTTCATGTTGTTCCAGAGATCATGGACGATGAGACAAATTCAGGCTATTACATATATTAGGGTAAGTTCACAACTACCATAACAGGAGAGTATTGTTACTGTCTATTTTTGTACAATAGCAAGCTAATAAACCAGGCATTGATTATTGATGCCACAAGCATTACAAAACACAAACCAGTGCCAGCATGCCCAGAGACCAGCTTACTTTGACTGTCAAAGAGGAAAGCGGCACACAGAGTCCCCTGCGTAACCTCCTATTTTGATACATGATCCATCTGTTTATGGCCCGAAGTAGACAGATCAAGTGAACAATTGGCTGAAATAACTATAACACACTAAAAGCCTTTTAATCGGCTCTTGAGGATCTGTCTAGGATTACAGCAGTAAGATTTCCAATGAGCTTTTGAGTGAAACCGGATCATTCTTTTGGATAATAAATGGCGCACATTAAAACTGAAAGTAAACACTAATGTTTCAACTGGCCTCGAAGTGGTTCACAACATTTTTTTTATTCTGGTACTTGCTACTGATTTTCCTCAGTTTTACACTATGATACGTCCTCTGCTAGCTGTGTCATTAGTCATGTGATTTTCAGATGAACAATGCGTAGTAGGAACAGTGGTAGACCATTTCAGCTGAAACACTGGTTAGAAGCCTGATAGTCTCTAATTATCCATACATAAACTGTAGCTGCCCCTCTTAGGAGTGTGCAAAGCCACATCCACAACCCTTCTCGATGGACTGCCGCTTATCCACAAGGTCTAAACATGCAATATGTCACCACTTTAGCAGTTCTTCCTCCGCTGTCCGCAGACAGCTTCCTGCTTGTCTTTCCATCAGTTAAGCACCTAATTAGAGAAGCCGCACCGCTGCCCTTTTCAATCTGGCTCCAGCCCTCCTTCCCCCTTGGAACTCTCAGTGAACTGCGCTCAGAGCCAGTTCCAGCTGGCAGAGAGACTTTGCTGCCCTACTGACCGAGCTCTTATTGCTGTTAAGGTGATACTGTACATTTGCTCCACCAATTACGGTCACCACAAACAGCAATAACGTGAGTGCAAATCTCTGAGATGGGCTCCTGACAACCAGCCAAGGATAGCCTCCTGATTCATCCACAAATCCCCAAATCTAATCTCTATTTCCTACACTCCTCTGTATCCATGTAAATAGGGAGGTACTTGTACTTTGGGATTAAGAGTGGAAGAGGCAGAGGGAGGACTGATGTCATGGAAGGAGATGAAGAAGTGTTTGTGCTATCAACATGACATGAAACACATGAGCTCACTAGCTGAAATCATCAGAAGATGAGATGCAAATAGATCAAAGAGGCAGTGAAAAATAGGTGGGACCTTCTTGTCAACCACTTGATCGTGGTGCGTTTCCTCATCATGTTATGAACAACATTGTGTGCCAGCTCCTCTATCCTCCTTGGCTGTTTTCCTTCACACAAGCCAAAACATTTTCAGGAGGGGAAATGTTGAGCTTTCCCCTCAGCGAGATGTTTTCTAATGGCTGTAAGGTCTTCACTTTCTCATGTAAAACCTTCGTTTCTTTCAATAAACACTGATATTTTGAAATGACTCAGCTGCTCCTTGAGTGAGTGAAGGATCTTACAGATCTCTCCAGGCTCTCCCACGGTGGGACTTTTCCATGATAAACATGGCCAGGCTGGTCCGGAGCAGGGCTGCGGGAGAGCCTGAATCCATTCACCCACCCACCCGCACGAGCTTGTTTCCACCCGGCCTGCCCAGCCCACAAACACAACACAGACCACTGCCATGTGCGTCGTCGTGTTGTCTGAGATATCCTGGATACAGCCACTCGATACTCAACTCTGTGAGGTAAAACAATGATCCGTGGTGGAGTAAACAGCTCATTCATTCAGCAGTGATGGGCACGGCTGCTCTCTCGTGTGTCAGCTGCCGTGTGCCCTGCCAGCCCTCTGAATGAGCCCACCACTTGCAGGGTGTTTGGTGACGACTGTGGCACAGCGGTCAAATGTCAACAGGTTCACGCTCCAACAGATTCAAGCAAATTTGGAGGTTATTGTTGCACGTCAAACATAACTGCATTACTTAGTCAGAGCTGGCATTTGACGGCAATGAAAAAAACGAATAAGCAATTACAAGCAATTTAGCGCTCCAAGACTCAAAGGCCTTATTAAAAAAGATTTTATGTGGCACTTTCTCATTTATGTTTAAATGAAATGTTGAGTGCCAGAGGCAAGTTTACGCATTTTTATGCTCTTCATGGACGTTTGTGAAAGGAGGAAATGATTCTGAAAAAACGTTCAGGAGAATTAACGAGAAGCTGACCAATTGGCCTTGGGCGTGGAGTTAATTAATGCAAACTAATGAACGTTCTTAGACAATGTTTTGTCAAAACCTATTAAGAAAACTGACATCTGTTATTGTTTAACTACGCCTATGGCGAAGTGAATCTTTTCAACAATATGCTAATTAAGTCTTTTATTGGAGAAAAAGAAAAACACTGTGAACGATTTAGGTGGAGATCCCCTTTACATGAAATATTTACCATGCTGTATGTCATGAATACCAAGGCGCTGATTCAGGCTTATTCTTTTAAGGCAGTGGATTCGCCCAGCAACACTGGCGTTTTTGTTGGTGTTGAGAGGGAAATGACATCATGGTCTAGGCTGAATCACGACAGACCCGGGGGGTGGGGGTCGGGGGGGGATTCCAGTCCAAGACCAAGCCTGTCTGATGTCAGACCACACGAGTCAGGACGTGAGGCCAGAGTGATGAAGTAAATGGGCCTGTGTTGGATCCCTGGAGCCGACTGCTACCTTGTTTAACAGCCGAGACAGCTGTGCACATGAATGCTATCTCTGAGAGGTCTATTATCAACACAGTAATGATCTTTGTGTTTGATGTGCTGTGTTAAATGTGCTCTTTTGTGAGACTTGCCACCCTTTCACATTCTTCAATCTCTGTGTCATTGCTAAGCCTGCAATTACTTCTGCTTTCTATTCATGCCTCACAATCCCTTCCAGACTCAAGCAGCTCTTTGAGCCAGCTGTTGACAGGAGCTATACATACAGCACAAGAACACAGAGAGGATTATACTGTATCATCACATAATCCAGGAGGCAAAGGGAAAGTTAGAGTCACAGGCCTGCAGTCAGGAGGTTACAAATTGGAACTGGTGAGTACCACAGGAAACTGGCCTTGTACCAGAGGGCTGCTGGGCCTCAGGTCCTGATTGTGCCTGCGAGCGAGGAACAAAACCACAAATTGCTTCACAGGCACGACTGAGGATTTCAATATGGTATTGAAAAATCCAAAAACAAATGTTCAAAACAGTGTACTGAAATTTAAAACTGTACTCCTGATATGCCCTCTTCCAAGCTCTCTTCTCGTGTTTCGCAGAAACCTTGAAAAATAGAACAATTGAAACAGTAACTTAGTTATAGCTTAATGTTGTAGATTTTGATATTTCAATTTGGGGGGTTAAAAATGGAGACATTTTTACATGCGGTACATTACCTTTTATAACATTATTTTTAGTGAGACCACTAGTTTTCATAAGCACATGCTACTCTGCAGTGTTTTGTTTTGAAAGAAAATTAGCATTTTTCTGAACCAAATCAAGCTGCGTAGTGTATAACAAGAGCTCTGTACAGTCAAGAGTTTTAACACACATTATGTATATATGAGAAGTGTGGGCAGATGCTGAAGTCCGATTTCCTGTACATACGTGCCAATATTGATACCAATGCCGATACATAATCATTTATAAAATCTAGAAATATGGACTACAGTTACCTGAATAACCATTACAGAGAAGTATAACTAAATGAATAAAATGTAGACATTTGAGTGCAGCAGACCAGCATTGCTTAAACATTCTGCTCCTCCGGAGTACTAAAATTATGTCATCAAATATCAGTTTGAAATAAAGTTCAAATCTAAGTATTTGACTGATGTCAATGCTTTTTTTAAAGCAATTATCTGCTGAAACTGATGATTCAGATACTATTGATCCCTTATAATCACGTTGAACCTGAAATTATCAGTATCACATCTCTAACAATACAGTAAATGTCACACACAGTCATTTTCCAACCTTTGTTTATCACTTAGAATAGACTGTTTTTGTTACTGTTCCTTTAAGACTGGTGTATATGTAAATGATCTGCGTTCTGATTAGCTGCCCTGTATTGTGCCTCAACACAGGGCAGCTAAAAGCAATGTGAGTGGGCTGAACTGCTCTAGGTTGAATAGGTAGATTCATGTAAATGTTTTTGTTTTTGTGATACCAAAAACAATTTAAAATGTATGGACTAGAGGAGTGAAGGGTACACTTATTACAAAAAAAGTGAAGAAAAGTCCGAATTCCAAGTTTCCCATTATATGGGCCCTTGAAGAGAGCAACATAGTATAAACATGGTAGAAGGATACTGATATTGTTTGCTTAACGAAATAAGAAAACAGCTTCACAGCTCACATGAAAAAGCTTTATTCTTAACCACAGCTTTAACAATAACATTTGTAGTGCTCTTCAGCCTTTAAATGTGTAAACTATTCAGCAACTTCACTAGGGGACAAATAGTGTAATCACCATTATAAGTTATACTGACATAAATTATTAAATATCTTTCAAGATTATACAAATATGCAGGAAAAACAGAGAAGTAAGTGTGTGTTATCTGTCCACTACACTATGAGATGGAAATGATACTGCACAAGTAACAAAATATTTATCTTCCAACTATGAAGTCAACTCTGCGGTACACATTCAGCTTTAAATAACACAAAGAGCATTTAGATCATTCATGAAATATAGGAATGTACATAAAATAAAGTCAGTACACAAGGGTAGCACATCTATGTCTGTTTACACTTACAGCAAGAGCACAAATGCATGTACAATCCCACTGTGAAAGGGGCAGCACTGAAAGTTAGTGTGCAGAATTGCAAATACTGTACACCTTCAATTCATTCGTTCGCTTATGTTTTCATGGCGGTTGACCAAGATTCTCTCTCTCTCTCTCTCTCTCTCTCTCTCCTTTCTTTCTCTCCCACGTTCAGATTTAGATAATACCTACTACGGTCAGCATCAAGGGACTGTACAAAGTTTATGGCAGATTCTTTTACAGATTTCATGTAAACAAAATAGTGCTCTCCTCATTTCCTTCACAATTAGTGTCAGTCGAAAGTAGATTTGGCAGCATGAAAACAGAAATATACTTGCAGTGTTCCACTGTAGCGTTTCACATACAGCTAGCATGAGCAGCCACTGTGCTGTATGACTGGGCTTTAGGGCATGCACATGAGAAATAATCAGCACTGAACATATGATGCCATGAACAGAAGATCCACACTGAAATAGTAATACATGTAAGCATGAACAGATAGCATAGCATGCGTATTACAGTGCATATGTGAAACGATGCGCTCTCTACTGCCCAGATCATTTCCATACTGTCTACTTTGATTTGGTCAACCTAAACATACTGTACGATTTTGAACTGAATCAAAGTTGCAGAAAATACACACATCAACTCATTTAACTTGTGTAGCAAAACTGTATTTTTACTGAATGACTGGTCCCTAGAAGCCTGACATTTCCGCACAGGGCAGGCATATTAAAACTCTACTTAACACAAACTTTGGTGTTTTTTATTTTTTTACCAAGATCTGGGCATTAAGTTTCAAATATACTATTTTGAGGTTCTGATGGAAACGTGGGAAGGCTCTGCTTTGCCATTCCACAGTAAAGTGCGTCCTTCATGGGCAGTGCACATTAAAGTGCAGGCAATGAAGGCGTGGGGTAGTATTTGAAAGATTTTGGTTGCCAGATTACTACTGGAGTGTGATTATCAGCTGAGTAGTGCAGGCACTGTCACCTGTGGTTCAGTTGTAGTTTTAAAATGGAGCTATGTAGAATTTCATTTACATCTGGATGTATATGTATACATAAATCTTTTTACAACCCTGGCATTTGAGTTTTTATTTCTGTAAAACAGAGCGTAACCAAGATGCCATCGAGTTCAAATCTTAGTAGTACACAACATAGTTTTTATGTCTCACCATCTGTGCATCACAGTAACAACTAATGGACAAAAACGATAAAATAAAAATAAATTCTTTACTGGTTAAAGTTCAAACTCTGCCCTCTGACCACCATCTGTAGGTCCCCTTCATTCAACATAGCCATTTTACCTGTTTAGCAGCTTGTCATTTATCCACTATTTAAAACGTTAAATGTTTACTTGACATGGCCATATTTTTAAAAATAACATTTTCTCAATTATTTTTTTGGCAACAGTATATCAAACATTTTCCGAGTGCACTCAAACAAATACATTGTAATTGTTATGGAGAATCCTTCAGAGGATGCGGACCATCTGGGTGTAAACAACTGTTTTACCTTTACAGTCATACAAAAATATATTTACATATATGCTGCATTATCCTCAACATATACTAAGTGCCATCCTAAAATAAAGAACCAAAAAAAGGGAAGGGATGAAAATAGTTATAAATGATCTATGGATGGATTCTTTCAACAGCAACTATTTTTGACCTGTCAAAATATTTACCATGAGGCATGTCATTGGAAAGGTATTTTGAAACCACAAATATTGGTACTGAAGGTGTGTGGGCAAAAATGTGCCAAAGGGAGTAACTACTATAATTGAATAATTGGCCTATAACTGCCAACCACTATAGTGTTTCTGAGTTAATTTGGCTGTCAGTCTGCGGATTTGTCTACAGTGACCAGGAACATAGATATAGGAGCAGAAGTGGTTTGTTTGGCTGGTCCCTTTGACATGTGGAAACATCCCCACAGAGGAAAGGTATGGAGGTGACCTCTTCCTTGCAGCTGTACGGATTCACTTACACGTAGCAACTCAACCACAAAGCCCTTTGTCTCACTGTAACACTTGGTTAGGGCAGGAAAGCGAAACACTGAGGAAGGTGCAATTGATAGCATATTAAGAGTGTGATATGCAGTCTAATGTCAAAACAAACAAAAAAAACAACACAAAGAAAAGTGACAAGTGAAAAACAAAAATACCTTCAGTCACAGCATGTGACACACATAACACACACACAGGTCTCCCAGCGATTACATCAGCCTGTCCTGTGGTGCCCCCAGAGTGGTGATGGGTGCACTAGCAATCCACAATACACACAGACACATTCAACTGGCTAGGCCTCTACATTTGGCAGGTACAATGCACATCACTGTGAAGTGATAGGAATCTTCACCTTTAAAACAGTGCTGTTAACGCTGACGAAAGGTGTGTCGATCGCTAATGTAAGCAGCAGGTGACTGTGGTCTATGCATGTTCTAGAAGCCACTGGAAGAGGGACCTGTGGACATGCCTGGCGTCCACAGCCCCATGCTCTTCCTCGGTCGGGTACTCCTCGTAGTATCTGAGAAGGGCCTGCAGGAGCTCTCCGACTCTCCACTCTCTCTCTCTTAGCCTCTGTACTACAGCCAGAAACTACAGCAGGACAAACAGGAACAAAGCAATCTTGTTTGTAAGATATTTAAATGAACAGTTCAACATTTGGATAAACTGTAGCTGTTGGAAATATGACTCCTTTAACCTACAGTGGTGCTACAGTAGGCTCTAGAGTATGATTTTCTCGTTTAAAGACTAGGAAAACACCCTTTTGTATAATGTTTGCGCAAAGCATGCTGGGTATTGTAGTGACAAAACACTAATGGACAAAACAAAAAAATAATACAAAAATCATGAATCATAAATTCTATTAAACCGATGAGGCTGTGCGATGCAATGCTACAGAATATTACAGGACAATTGCATTAAATGCTAGTTTCAGGCCAGAATACTGCTTTAACGGAGGCTACTAGCTACAAATTCAGAAAATCAGAGACTATCAGCTGCAGTAGGCTCATAGAAGCTTTCATATATTTAAATGACTATTTTAAAAATGCACAAAATGAATGAAACTGACTTTACTACTGAACTCAATTTAAAATTCCTATTAGCATTACTTACATGTATGACATTTACATTCACACTACTCAAATTATCCAACTAAAACAAAGTATTGGTTTATTACTAATGATTACTAAACATACCCAACAGAGCTTTTTTCCAGAGTTGGTGAGAAACTCTAGCTCAATCATTCTGTGTCCTATTTTTCATTTGCTTTGGTGAAAGTGGGTTAAGAGACCAACTTCTGACCACAAAAATTTGACTATAGCATGTTCAGGCTTCATATCGGTGTATGAAAGCGTAGGTGTGAAATGAGGTGTGAAAATAATTTTGCTGATTTTATTTGCTCAACAGTATGTTTTCCCCCTCTATGTTGGCTAACTGTGTGTGTGTGCGTGTGTATATATAAATTCCCCTGGAAATTCTAACCTGCTGCAGCTCTCGTTCCGATTGCTGCCTAAACTGAATGACTGGCAGCTCAACGATGGAAGCTGCCATCCACTGCAGCACTGCCCGCAGCTGTGCATCTGGGGCCTGCCCCCAAACATCTGTACTGACCACCAACAGAGCCCTGTCCCCTTGAGCATGCCCCCTCTCCACTCGCACTGTCCCTGTCAGAGGAAACACACAAAGGCCTGTTATTCCCACAGACACACACATACATAAACACAAACCTACCATCATCATAATCAAGTCAAGTCAAGAGGCTTTTATTGTCATTCCATCTATGTACAAGTACACAGTGGAGCAAAATTACATTCCTCCAGGAACAAGGTGCAACAAGGAACAAAAAGTACAAAAGTACAGAAGTACAAAATTACAAAGTGTGAACGTGCAGACAGTGTGCAAACAAAAATTAAGCTAGAAACAATACAATAAATATGATAAATTAAACAGACTTTAGACACAGTAAACAGACCGGACAGTGTAGCACAGACACAGCACAGATTTCTGGACATGAGGTAGTGGAATAAGGTGCAGACATATTTAACATGGTGTGATCTGTAAGTTACGTCAGATAACATACACATACACCGCAGTTACTGAGGTAGTAAAACAGTTACTGAGGTAGTGAAAACAGTGTAAACACAGTGTAATCACTGCAGATAACTCTTATTTCAGCAAGCCCATTGCATAAACCCACTTCCCACAGTCGCTCAGAAAACAGGGCCAGATGGCTCAGTCTGAATCACCTGCAGACCCACAGAGCTTGACAGTCAGGGGAGAGGGATATGAAAAAACAGCAATGGAGTTTTAACAAAGCAGTGAAACACTCCTGCTGCCAAGCATAACCATTATGAAAAAGTGGCTGGGTCAAAAATGTCCGCAAGTGAAAAACGCAGCACATTACCATTTACCTTTACCAATAAAGACACCGGACTTATAAGAAAAGAATTAATCCATTACCACCCAAGTCGTTCTTGGTCTCTGTCTCCTTCTCCTCTGTGTAGTCACTACAGGAAGAGAAATATGACAGGTGTGAGAGAACAGAACAGAAAGGCACCATTAAGGACAGAGCTAGAAGAGACTTGAAAGAACATGCAAAAGGACCACATGCAATCAAAACCAAGCGAGAAAGAGAAAAATCAGTTTCCAGCAAGCCCATTTTCATACTGAGTCGTTCCACAGTTACAGCCAGTGCTGATCTACAAGCTAAGCACCATACCAGTGAAGAGATATATTAAGTAATCCCTTCTTATTGTTCGATGTTAGATCCTTTCACACAGCAATGTGGCAGTGGGTAAACAATACTTTTTTTCTTTCTACTCTTTTGGTTTTAAATTCAGAGAATGTTGCCACAGCCCAAGGGCAACAGTTTCAATTATACTTAAGTTCATTAAATGGAAACATTGTGCTGCTTACAGATATCAATTTCTTGTTCAATGAAATGAAGTATTGTATAGAGATCTTTGTTGCCATTTTAATGAGTAATTTTCTCAGTGGAACAGTATCCTTATGAAAAGTAGAGGCCAGACCATCTCTACCGTCACTCAGCCATGCAGCATCTAGCAAATCTGACTGCTCCTTTGCCAGAGTCAAGACTTCCCTCCCCCCAAAAAATATATTTAAATGAATGAAAAGGCAGACGGAATGAACTCCCTAACCCTTCCTACACCCACCACTGTATCTACACGCACACAGACACACAGAGAGACACAAACACACACAATATAATTTACTAATTCCTTTTGCTCAAACCACAGAATGAAGAGCAACAAAGAACTGTTGTGCTCCTGGGTTTGTCTCTAAAAGCTGCTGCAGTCACACAGACACATTTTCATCAAAGCTCTGACATCATGCAGTAATTAGAGAAAGGCCACGCTGACTGTACCCAGCATCCTGCTCTGGACCAACCTGTCTGATGGGGAGAAGGACAAATGCTCTTCATAAACTTCACCCTCTAACCCCAGACTGCTCCAGCTACTGCTGTTCCCATTACTGCTGGGGGAGAGGAGAAAAGGAGCACTCAGCACTGGGCAAGCACACATACTACAATTCTATGTCACTACGTGTTTACTATACCCACCTGTATGTTGTATTAGATACAATATAAAGCACTACTCTGCTGTCATTTTTTTTTTTTGATCTCTGTAATTAAATAGTTAAGATGTAAACAAGTCATTCAGGGTGTTTTTTTGTGAAATGCTCCATTCTAGTGAATCTTGCGAAGTTGAAATTGGCAACAGTGGTGGTGATAGGAACCAAACGTCATGTCTCTAAAAGCTTCCTCACAAAAGGTTATTTTTATTAAAAGGTTATGAATACAATGTCTGATGTCTCAGACATTCTTTTACCATAATGTCGAGGATTTTGGCCTAAAATGTATTATATTTATGGTGGTGAGGCACATGCAAGGAATTGTGAGGCAAAATAGTTCCCAAAGAGACTTATTTTTTTAATTTACCACTATTTGACCCTTATCAGCATTACATATATAACTTGTAGGTTCACTGGACGTTTTGGATAATAAATAAAATAGACATTGCAACCCCTGGTTCCTATGACCACCACTGTAAAGAAATCAGAGTTGGTAAATTTTTCTAGAATGGAGTCTTTCACATCAAACCACTCTGAACGGCTTTGTTTATACTTCAACAACTGGATTATGCAGAAATTTTGAAAATCAGTGGAATTTTCATTTAAATCATAATACCAGTTACACAACAAGAAGAGCAAATGGAAGAGCAGACAGATGGGTTTCTGGAGTAGGTTTGATCCACCATCCAGAATTAGTTTCTCTGGAAACACTGCCCCGAGCTGAATGACTTCTGCTTACAACCACACCTTTCAAAAATATTTTGATACCTTCACAGGGCTTTCACTGTCCAAAATAACTACTCATGGTGTGCTTCCATAGAGATAACTGCCTGTGCCAAGAACTTCATTTAAAAACACTCAACCTTGAAAATAAGATAATAAATACAACATAATAAATGTGACTCAACTGAGTCCATCCCTATGCCTTTCTTGCCCTACAGAGAAATTCTCTAAATGTAGCAGGAGCAAACAGTCTTCAAAGAATGAGTATATTATTTATACAAAGGGAAAATCACTCCTTGGTAAAAATGAATCATAGATTAAAAAAAAAAAAACAGAGGTTATATAAAGGCCAAAAGTTGTAGTCTAGGTTACTATGACTGGATTCATGTTCAGCTCAGACAAAATATCTCACTCATTAACGTAACATCAACAAAATGTTCTGGGCTGCAATAACATATGGCAACAACAACATACTCTAACCTCATCTGCAGTTCCCTGATCAATGAATTCTGACGTCCAGGTTAAGCACAAAACTGTTTCAGCTTCTCGACCTTGTCTTTTTATTACGCTGTAAACTCTACTCACAACATTCATATATATTCATATATATATATATATATATATATATATATATATATATATATATATATATATATATATATATATATATATATATATATAAAAAAATCTACATATCATTTTACCTGTCACTTAGGTGGTGGAAGCTACTACTTTCATCTGGATGGTCTTCTTCAAAGCTCAAATTAGACCAGCTGCCAAGACTGTCATCTCCCACACTCAGATTGAGCTGCTGACTGACCGTTGACTCTGTGACATTGACACTCTCTCTCCCAGGGGCACTGGAACATGAACAACAGATATTCATAACAAAAAGGCATATATAATTAACAAAGTTTGAACTATTCAAATATCATAGGACAGAATAATAAAAACATGACATGTAACACAATATAAATTTTGTTAATTTTCAGTGAAAATGGGATTTTTTTTTTTTTTCACCTCAGATTGATGGTTTGGCAGACGTTGGATAATGCGGACGTCATAATCTCTGTGGTAAGACTTTCTGCGAAGCTTGCACCGTCATGACCAATCCCACTGTCTGCATTTAAGCTAGTGCTGCTCAGTTCTTTCTTGGCTTTCTCTATTGCGGCAGACACCATTTCTTCAGCAAAAACTGCTCTCTTATCCAAATCTATGTGAATTTTGGGAATTTCAAGACCAGCCATACCATCAGAGTCTTGTCGCATCCTCCTTTGCAATCCCTGGTATTTAAGACGTCCATCTCTGCTGCAAAACAGGCAGTCTCTTACTTGACAGTATCGGCAAGCCTTGTATGCCTCTGTCAACTTCTCTGTAAAAGAATTTAATTCCAATGTCCTCCTCTCGTCTGCCGTTTGATGGCCTGTATGTCCTAGAGTCACCTCCAAAGTGTCATCAACAATCTTTTTAGCGTAATGCTCGATTACTTGCATAACACCACTGTTGTAATTTCCATCATCTAAGCTGCCGGTGCTGTGGTACTGTCGGTTTTTCTCTGTGTATGGTAAAAGCGAACATGAAAACGTAGTTTTGATTACATTTTCTGCCATGTCTTCAACATTTGACTTTCTGTAGAGACATGAGTCAGTAAGAGATTTAGGAAGCCTAGCTGATGACATTCTTAGCTTTCTTGTGACATCACATGTAATATTGTATGCCAGCGACTCTGCAAAGTTCACAAGTTCCATGTATTCATTCCTATTCATGTTTTCCCCATCCTGACAAGCACATAACATGGATTCACTCGATGAGCTTTCTTTTCCTTGGGTAAGAATAGAAGAGGACGATTCAGATGGTGGGATTCTACAGACATTATGTCTGCCATCATGGTGTAAACGTCGAGTTGAGTGAAGCCTCAAAGGTGATCTCTGTTTTATTTTACGAGCAGCATGAGCCAGACCTGATTTGATCGACCTATAAGCCAATTGACTGGCATACTGATCCAAGATAAGTTCTCGACTTCCCCCTTCTTTCCTAAGCACCTTGATAACGTACCCTGCATACTCATCTGTAACACTTTCAAAGCTTGGGTACTCGGATGACATTCCACTCGAAGTGCTTCTCTGATGATTGAGGACTGGTGCAAGGAAATCATTTGACCACTGAACAGTCATGTTGGTCAAGCGACAGTCTTTCTGGTCACCACCCAAGCGGTTATCTGCCTTACTAGATCCTCTTTTGGCTGCTTTGTGGCGGCAATGGCTGGAACTCATCATCCTCTTTACGTCACTGATGACTTCCCCAGCGATTTCACCAGCATAAGTCCACAAGGAGTTCAATGTCTGTTCCGAGAATTGTGCACTGTGCAAAGCAACACCGCCTTTGCCTTCATCATCCCCTTGCTTTCTTACACCATCACCAAAGCTTATAGTGTCCATCTCAGTTGCCATGGATACAATATGGCATGCCAAACGCTCTGCATAACGTAGAGCTCCTCTTTCAATTGTCCTGTTTCCCACACTGGGAGTTAGTTCTGCATAATGGTCTCCAGAGTTAAGGCCATCTTCCTGGTCATCATCTTCATCTTCATTGTTGACAACTTCCTCAGAAAGGGACCTCATGAGCTTCAGCATGAATTCTGCTTTGTCTGAATCAGAGCCCTCATCTTTGAGACCTGGAGTGGGCTGGTAATGTGGGGTGGGTGGGGGTGTTGCAGGGGAGAATTCCTTTGCAAGCTTGCCTTTGAGTTTCTTCGAGAACTGTTTAATCTGTTTCTCACTAGAGATGTCAGATGGCTGCTGTGGAGTTGATGGTGGTGTGCCTGGGGTTCCACTGGGTTTTGCTCCAGAGTTGCTACTGAATATCTCCTCTGTGGCAACTTTTCTGCTCCCACGAACGCTGACTTCAAAACTTGGCACTTCCAAAGTATCCTTTATCATGGCGGGGTGGACCTCTGGGCTGGATTTGCTGGCTGGACGTATGCATCTTGAGACAGACTCACAACCTGCTTTATCTGTGTTCTTTGATCCAAAACTCAAGTGAGGCTGAGTGGGACAAAAGGATGATGAATCTGCCACACCTCCTTTAGGAACAAAAGATACAATATTCTGAGAGAAACATAAGTCATAAGGTGCTGAACTCTGACATGCCACATCCTGTGACTTTGTGGCTACACCACTACCTGAAGTGGCCATTCGACACCCTATAGTTTTACTCAAGAAATCGGCACAATCTTCCACTTTTTTCTTCACTTTGCTTGTGGTCATGATGTCAAATGCTTCACCCACTATTGTGTCCACCATAGCACCTGAAAAGTTGTGAAAACTTTTTCCAGTTGCAGATTTCCCAGAAGCAGCTCCAGCGTTTCCAAAATTACCACAGGCATTACGAATTTTGGAAATGCCTGGCACTGATTCAGATGGTGTTGCAGTATCTGAGGTGGAGGTCACTGCTCTTCCTTGAGAACAAATGCTTCTTTTGGGGCTGGTCTGGCATGTGTGACTAATGCTGGACTTATAATGACAAGTTTCCTCTGGGTTCTGCAGGTAGGATATAGCCTTGCCAGCTGCAGGGACTGGAACACAACTGGCCATTCCAGATACACAGTACAAAGCTTTCTTTACAGTGCAGCCATCTTCTTCTTGGATCCCAGCCTGCGCATGTGACCGTGGTTCCTGATAACTGGATCGGGCATTGCAAATTTTCATTGTCTGGGATGTGTCTTCAGCACTGACATAGCAGATATTGTCCAGTGACACGCTTATGGCTGCCTGTGTTGTGAAAGTCACATCAGCTTGAGAAAGTTCTATGAAAGCCTCTTGGAGAACTGACTCTGAAAGGTCTGAAGCATAAGAACAAACCACTTCCTCTTCTTGCTCAAAAGACCAGTCTCTTGGGGTAAGAGGTGTAGAAGGATGTGAAAACTGACAAACCTCCATAATGCTCTCAAATATTAGTTCCTCAGCAAGATCACTTGCAAATCTGGTGACAGTGTTATTAAATATCTGCTTTTTTACAAAGAGAAACTCTTTTAGAGCACCCGAGACTGCTTCTCCAACAAGGAAGCTGGCTAATCCGTTTATGGCACGCTCTTTTAACACATAAGCATGGCGCATTCCTATCTCTTGGAAGGCCATCTGGAACACTGAAGAGGTCAGCCTTGCAGCTAAATGGCAAAGTGTTGTAGTGCAGGAGGACACTCCTTTCTGTAAATCTCTTAAGGCACTCCCAATGCTCATTTCAACCAAGTCTGTGGCAAACTTCTGAATCCCATCCTTCAGAGACTGCGACTGTGTTCTGGCAATGGTGACTGTCTCCTGAATATCTGACAGCTTCATAAGATGTCCATTAGTGTTTTTGAATTCTTTATGACACACACAGCTCAAGTTCTTATTAATATTAATGTCAATGGGAGAGGAGTACCCACAAACAGTTCCAAGGATTTCCTTTGAGAGATTGTTTGCAAAATCTGAATACGTTTTATATAAGGAACAAAGGTCCTGTGGTTTGCGCAATTCAGAACCATCACCATCTACTTTCCAAAAACACTCCAAGGCTCCTCCTTCTCCCAGAGGACTGAAAGCCGATGAGCGAACCGGACTGAAAAGTCCCCCACTCTCCTCACAGGAGGTCCTCGTTGGCCGTGGAGAATCTGGGGTATCTGACTGTATACTGTATGGTGATCCTGGTTTAAGTGGAGTGGGTTTCTTGACATTGGCAGGGAGTGTCCTGTGGTCAAACTTGTGAGGATTCATTACTGTTGTTGAGCCACCCTTTGAAGCATATTTACTAACAGAGCTGTCAGACTGCTTCTTTTTCTGGGAAAAGAGGGCCTGTTCCTTTGGCATCTGCACGCAGGACTCGAAATGCTGATCCAGATCATCAAACTGATCAAAACTATCAAAAAACTCACTAACTTCTGAGTCAGAGTCTTCGACTCCCTCTTTAAGAACAGGGATCTTGGGAATGTCAAGCTTTGCCTTTAGACTCTTCTGATAACCAATTTCATCCAAAAAAATTATAGGGCTTGGACTAGAGCAGTCTGACTCATCAGATTCTGTGAGAGATGTGGAGGTAATGCATCCTTTTGGTGGGCTGCTTGGCGTTGAAAGACTCCACGGGCCCTCTGTACCTCCAGACCATGAACGTGGTGCCTTCTGTATTGTTCCTGACACAGCTGCAGCTGACTTTTCTTTATTCAAAGACTTCTTGGAAATGGAACTAATGATGATCCGGGAGCCAGATAAATCTTTGAAATGAGGAGGAAGAGTCTGGGAGGCCACATCCCTCTGGTTCCGCTTATTATAGAAAGCTGCAAAATGATAAAGATCTATCAGAATTAGACAACTAAATTTAAGGAACTGTTAAATCAAACATGAAGTTACATTTATTTTATTCTAATTTATTTCTAACATTCGAATACATAAACATTGAAATTACTCAAAAATGTAAAAAAAAAAAAAAAAATCTAAACGTATTTTCCTAAAGACACAATATTGAACATTGTATCTTGAGACCAATATTTTATGTTTTGCATGTTAAAGGGGCTGTCAACTTAATTGCAAATATTAAAACTGTCTCAATGAAAAAAAAAAAATCTAAACATTATTTCAAGTGAAGTTAAAAGCTAAACTAAAAATTCAGCTTTTCTGCTTGATCAGAATGGTGTGGGCATTTAAGACTGCACAGTGGTCTCACAGTAGCAGATGGTTTGCCTTTTTTAAGTAGCAGAATCATACATAAAGTAGCCCAGCAGAATCATACATAAAGCATGTCTGCTTTACAAAGCATAGTTTTTGCTTATGGGAAGTGAAATGCCATGTCACTTAATGAAGTGTAAGACATAAGTTACCATGTGATTTTCTGACAGTTAAGGGGAGTTTTTGCTACGTTGCTCAAAAGTGCTAGATAGCTTGCCTGCTCACTGGAAGTCTGTCAAGCAGAACTACAGCTTGTAGATGAACCCTAATAGTGCACTACAAAATGTTTCAGCCATTTTGTAATGCTGTTTGAAAACTCAATGATACATTTTTTGATGCTCCATGGCCATTATCCATGATGTTTGTTATATAGCAAACACTATATAATATCTGTGGCATTCTCGTTCTGATTGGTTCAAGAAAGAACTTGGGGTCAGCTTCTTCCAGCACAGTCCCACCCAATTCAAATCCAAAAGAAGAGACACAAAAGTGCAAGAATCTCTCATCTGAAACAACCAACACTGGACTTTACCTGTTACAAGTAAATTCATGCAGTGGCTTATAGCTAAACACATAAACAAATTAAGAAAATTACAGCCCCTTTAACAAACGCAAGACAATATCATGAGTGGTTGGTAATCACCTGTCTCCTCTTCCTCAAGGTGTTCAAAAGCTGTAACAAAGTCCTCCTCAATAGATGAAACAGACTGGTTAGTGTCATCATCCTCGGCTTGACAAGCCTCTGATACGCCCCTCTGCAGTGACTGTAACTCCATAGCATATCTGATTCCTGCTGTATACCGTGTTAGTAGACCCAGGATAGTATTGATTTGTGGAAAGCCCCCCTGCCTTAATATACACATGGCTCTGGATAATCCAGCCTGCATTTAGAGAAAGAAAAAGGTGTTTAGTAGACCACTATACCTCCTAAATATGTCACACATGTACCCAGTAGTGGTTTCAGAAAGTAAATAGTAATCCTGCATTAGTCAGCAGGAACAACATAATTCTGAAATAGACTGAAAACTGTTGTGTTTGGATCGGCCCTATCTTTAGAACAAATATGGGCTTTTGCATTTCTCATGATAGTGTTCCCATGACGTAAAAAAAAGCATTCACAGCATACACAGTTTTTCTTATGCTTAAAATCTATTTGATCAGGTGTTCAGTATGAACATTTAAATCAACAACTAAATGCCATACGTGTTTTGCCACAAAAAGTAGATCTGCTGTCACACATGAAAATGTACCACACAGCTAGAAAACCACAAAAAACATACTTTTCCACCATCAAATGCTCACCTATATGCAGGCATGTATGCTAAATGCTGTACCTGTGAAACGCCATCTTTTCTTTCAAAAGGTCGTTTGGGGTCTTTGAGGAACAGCACTTCTTCATCCTTTAGAGTGTGTACATGCAGTGATCTCAGCAACTCCATCAATTCAGCGGAAAGAGAGGTCAGAGCCTGTAAGCGTTACAATGAAGTGACTTCAGTTACTACTTAAGTAACAAGTTTAAATCCAAGAAGACCATTTAAAACCTGGTATTAATTTCAAAACGTATCCACTGCATGCAAGTCATTACTTAAAGGTAAATATTAGTCTAATGCTCTAACATTATATAACATTTGAGGAATTAAAAAAACAATACTTGCCTGTAGTGTGAAATCCTCACCCTCAGCATGACTAGGCAAGCATACAAAATGGATCTAAAAGAAAGAACAATGTCATGAATTTTTTTAAGCATAATCATTTAAGTTATATGGTCTAGTTTTCAACATTTCTGGAGCAGATTTCATAAAGGTGGGGAAGGTAAAACCTTTCTGCCACTTCAGTTTTGAAGATGTGAATGATCAAGATTATTGCTAGATGAAATTATTTGTTTTTTCATTTTTTAAAAAGAATATTTATTATAAAAAAAATTGCTCCTTTTGCATCTGTATCTGTGATATGCTTTAGTCACATCTGTGGCATAATTAACTATTCAGCCTTGTGTTTGCATGTATGATCCTCACCTCTGGCAGATACTGCGATTCTCTAGTATGCAGCTCTGGCACGACATTGCTTAGCTCCTTACGGTTCTTCAAAAGGCTCCTTAAGGACAGAGCTGAGTTCTCACGGACAGTCTAGCGATACAAATGCAAGACCAAATGAGAGTTCTTTAAGTAACACAACTATACTGGCAACGTAGAGTACAAAGCAGGAAAAACAGAAAGGGTGTTAGTTTAAAGGAATATCCTTATGTTGTTCCTATTTTTTCAGTTTTTTGATTTTTTTGGTTGTTCTGAATTGAATCAAATTTGTTTCAGAAACCTTATTTTTTCATAAATAACGCAAGGAAATTTGGAACATTGGACTTTTTATGCTTCTGGTTGTACAAGACAATGTTTTGAAGTGTATGTGATAACGTTTGTACCATATCTAACTCCAGAAGCACATATTTCAAGCATAAAAATGCTGGAGTATACTTTTAAATGCAGGTAGACAAAAAAATAACACTGTAAGAGTTAAATCAACAACAACGTTAAACTGTATTCTAGCTTTAATAAACATGAAGTAAATACTCTGGAAAACATTCATATGTCATGAGCTAGAAACGTTTTTATTCCAGTTTTGTTAAATGAACAGCCTTTCGGGTTTTCTCTAATAAATGATACTTAGAAGTTTTGGTAGCACTTTACAGATCGGGAATAATTGGGTAATTATATGGTAATGTTATGGTAACATGTTGTACTTGAAAATTACACACTAATTCTCTAGTTGTTAACAAATAATAAGTTAGTAATTGTAGTGGAAACAAGTCAGTAACAAAAAAGTTAAAATAAGGCTAATAGGCTGTACAAATCTAAAAATTGCCTGCTAATTTTCTAGTTGTTCATAAACAGTAAGTTAAGATAAACAAAAAAACATGTTTTATATAGTTATACGTGGTGCGGTTTTCCAAGTCTTTTGACAGATCATTCATTCATTTATAATAGAGTACCAGCATTTTGTTAACAGGTTACACTATGGGAACATCTGATATATCTTCCAGACCAGATTCTATGTAATCTCAACTGCACTATCTGTAGGTGGTATAAGTAAGAAAAACCATTGGTGATTCTAATTCAGTAACATAGTCAAAATTACCCACCCCAGTGCAGTTACCCACATTATTCTGAAGAACTGATGTTATCACCTGTTGTGAGCTGCAGTAACTAAGAAACAAGATGGAAAGAAGCAATTTTGCATTTTACAGCTCTAATACCATTTAATTTCACTGGAAAAACTGTGTCTGTACATTTTATCGCACCTGACCATTTAGACATAACAAGGAAGAAACAAAGCATAAACAAGTGAATTAGGATATGACTGATACCACTTCAGTTCAGCAGAACTACTTCAATGTTTTTGGGGTAATAACGCTAATATAATAAAACTCTACAAGACTTGTATTAAATTTATTATCCAAAAACCCTCCATGAAAAACGGACACAGAAGATCGTGTACCCTGCCCGGGAGAGGGTCACCGGGATCTACCCCTGGAGCCAGGCCTGGGGGTAGCATCCCTCGGCGAGCGCCTGGTGGCCGGGCAGCCCATGTAACCTGGCCGGGCTCAGCCCGAAGAGGCAACATGGAGGGACCATGTGGGCCCACCACCCACAAGGTCCAGCATGGGGGAGCGGTGCAGTGCCACATAGGCAGTGGGAGATTGCAGGGGGCCCTTGGTGGCCTAGGCCCCTGTGGCAGAAACTGGCTCTTGGTACGTGGAATGTAACCTCACTGGAGGGGAAGGAGCCGGAGCTTGTGCGGGAGGTTGAGAGGTACCAACTAGATATAGTTGGGCTCACCTCCACCCAGTGTCGGCTCTGGAACCTAACTCCTGGATAGGGGTTGGTCCCTCTCCTACTCAGGGGTTGCACAAGGTGAGAGGCGCCGGGCGGGTGTGGGGATATTCACGAGTCCCCGGCTGGCGGCAGTGCAGTTGGAGTTTGTCCCGGTGGACGAGAGGGTCGCCTCAACGCGAATTAAAATCGCAGAGGGGAAAACTCTGACTGTTGTGTGTGCTTATGCACCAAACAACAGGTCGGAGTATTCGGCCTTCTTGGAGCGAGTGGGCGGGGTTTGGGACTCCATAGTCTTACTGGGAGACTTCAATACTCATGTTGGCAACAACTGGGAGACCTGGAGAGGCGTGATTGGGAAGAATGGCCTGCCCGATCTAAACCCGAATGGTGAATTCTTATTGGACTTCTGTGCCAGGCATGGATTGTCCGTAACGAACACCAAGTTCGAACACAAGGATGCTCATAAGTGTACATGGTACCAGAGCTCCTTGGGTCAAAGGTCAATGATCGACTTTGTTGTCGTTTCATCTGACTTGGGACCATATGTTCTGGACACTCGGGTGAAGAGAGGTGCTGAGCTGTCAACTGATCACCATCTGGTGGTGAGTTGGATCAGATGGCAAGGAAGACTGAGGGTCAGACCCAGTAGGCCCAAGCGAATAGTGAGGGTGCGCTGGGAACGACTGTCGGAGGGCCCTGTTAAGAATGATTTTAACTCCCACCTCCGGGAGAGCTTTTCTCATGTCACGAAGGAGGTAGGGGACATAGAGTCTGAATGGACCCGGTTCAAAACCTCCAATGTGGAAGCTGCCAGGCATAGCTGTGGCCAAAAGCTTGTTGGTGCCTGTCAGGGCGGTAACCCAAGAACCCCCTAGTGGACACCGGTGGTGAGGGAGGCCGTCAAGCTGAAGAAAGAGACCTTTAGGGACTGGATGGCCCGAAGGAATCCCGACTCAGCAGATAGGTACCGACAGGCAAAAAAGGTGGCAGCTGCAACGGTGGCAGAAGCAAAATCCAGGGAGTGGGAGGAGTTTGGTGAAGCCATGGAAAAAGACTTTCGGTCGGCCTCAAGGAGGTTCTGGTCAACTGTCCGGCAACTCAGGAGCAGTCGGGGTGGCTGCGCCCAAGCTGTATTCGGCAGGGGTGGAAAAACTATGATTTCAAATGAGGATATTGTCGGTCGGTGGAAAGAGCACTTTGAAGAACTCCTTAATCCTGGAGACATGCCTCCCTCACGGGAGTCAGGGCCAGAGGCTTCTGGCGTGCCAAGCTCCATTTCCCTGGTGGTCACTGAGGTAGTTGGCAAGCTCTTCAGTGGCAAGGCACTGAGGGTGGATGAGATTCGTCCAGAGATGCTTGAGGCTCTGAATATTGTGGGGCTGTCGTGGCTGACAGGCCTCTGCAATATTGCATGGACCTCGGGAACACTGCTCAGCCTCCCTGGGAAAGTCTATGCCAAGGTGCTGGAAAGGAGACTTTGACTGATAGTTGAACCTCAGATTGAGGAGGAACAATGCGGATTCCGTCCTGGCCGTGGAACAATGGACCAGCTTTTCACCCTCTCACGGATTGTTGAGGGGCATGGGAGTTTGTCAACCTGGTCTACATGTGTTTTGTGGATTTGGAGAAGGCTTACGACCTTGTTCCCCGAGATATCTTGTGGGAAGTCCTCCAGGAGTATGCCGGGGTTACTACTCCGGGCCATTCAATCTCTGTACACCCGGAGTGAGAGCTGTGTTTGTATACTCTGCATTAAGTCAGACTCTTTCATAGTTAGCGTTGGACCAGGGTTGTGCCCTGTCTGCACTCCTGTTTGTGATATTCATGGACAGAGTGTCAAGGCGTAACCGCGGTCAGGAGGGCATTATGTGTGGAGGCCGGAGGGTGGCGTCTCTGCTATTTGCAGACGATGTTGTTCTTTTGGCTGGATCACATGGATGCCTCCAGCGCGCACTGGAGCGGTTTGCAGCGTGAAGCGGTTGGTATGCGGTCCATGGTCTTAGCCCGGAAAAGGATGGCATGCCCACTCCAGGTAAGGGGAAAGGACTTGCCCCGGGTGGAGGAGTTTAAGTATCTCGGGGTCTTGTTCACGAGTGATGGGAAGAGGGATCGTGAGATTGACCACAGGCTGGGACAGGTGGCAGCAGTAATGCGGTCACTGTACCGGACTATACTGGTGAAGGGGGAGCTGAGCCATAAGGCAAAGCTCTCTGTTTACCGATCGGTCTACATCCTGACCCTCACCTATGGTCGTGAGCTGTGGGTAATGACCGAAAGAATGAGATTGCGAATACAAGCGGCGGAAACGAGCTTTCTTCGCAGGGTGGCGGGCCACACTCTATTTGATAGGGTGAGGAGCTCGGCCATCTGGGAGGAGCTCGGAGTAGAGCCGCTACTCCTCCGCATTGAGAGGAGCCAGCTGAGGTGGTTCGGGCATCTGATCCGGATGCCCCCTGGACGCCTCCCGGTGGGGGTGTATCAGGCACAGCCTACCGGAACAAGACCCCGGGGTCGTCCTAGGACCCGCTGGAGGGATTATATCTCCAACTTGGCCTGGGAGCGGCTTGGGGTCCCTGGGAATGAGCTGGAGGAAGTTGCGGGGGACAGGGTCGTCTGGGATTCTCTGCTCTCCCAACTGCTACCGCGACCCTATCTGGACTAAGCGGTTAACGATGATGATGATGATGAATACTTGTATTAGTATGACATGTAGAGTGGGCAGATATTATACCGTAAGAGCTGGACACTAAAAAATATGAAATTAAATTAAAGGAAGAAAAAATTGCAATGACTTATTCACTGTTTAGTGAGTTTGATTGTTTTTTGGAAATAACTACTAATCAATTATTGTGTGTCAGCTGGAATATTAACATTTTATTTACAGGCTGTTACCATTATTTGTTGATTTTATTACCAACTAGTTACCACTTTAATTATTAACCTAACATTTTCTATAAGTTTAATAACAACTAGGAAATTAGCCTGTCATTTTTAGGTTAGAACAATTTACCATAATATTATCATATTATTACCAACTTATTATCAATCTGTAAAGAGCTACCGAAGTTTCTTATAGAGTTCTTTAAAGATTCATTCATGCCAAGTATTAACATGTGTGGACTTAACAAGATGTTGGTTTAATAATTAGGCTACCTCCTTTCTGATGGTGGCACGGTTCTTGAGTGGAACACCTTTGATCCTGGCACAGGCATCCATGGTAATGAAGGGCAGGGCTGGGAGGCTAGCCTCACCTTGAAGAAAAGAAAGGAGGAATAACTGACAGAGCCTGTTTACAACTTGCGTTAACATGTGTTGTGCGTCCAGATTGTATCTGGATAAACTATGGCTGGATTCCATTTACATATTTCACGAAAATAGCTACATTCCCAGTATAAAGATAGTGAAAATGCATTCCATTTACACTTGGGTTAAATGTGATGAAGATCTGTCTCTGATCACCTCTGAGTGGAGTAATCTGATCATAATCCGCTCACAACGCTTCCTGGATGTGTTTACTCCTGGCTTTTTAGACCATCAAGTGAAATCAGAACAAGATCCAATCACCAAAACGCATGTTAATGCAAGGTGTAAACAGGCCCATACGGATGGTGTCAAAAAGGGATACAATAACACATCACTGAACATGAGTAAAAGGGTCTAAATAGACCTCGAACATGTAAAATAGCACTGTACTATTTTTTTAAGATACGCAACAAAATATCAGTTTGGGCAGTAGCCTATTTTTTCAGCATGACAATTTTTCAAATCAGACGTAACTTACCACAATATATGCTGAATGCATATATTGCTGACCACTACAGAGCCATTACACACACTTCTGTCATAGGCATACCTCAAATTGCAAAAAATAAAATTAATAGTTAATTTCTAAAGATTCCCAGTCCAACTAGAGGTTTTTACCTCCTCAATTTCATATCAAAACTGAAATAAAGATGCACATAACAGCATAATATTGAGTTATTGAGATATTATGTAAACTGGCTCAAGCCTAAGACTAGCTGAAATGAGAGGGTTAATAAATGAGAACCATTACATAGAATATGACTGTAAAGGTACTAAAATATTTATAAGCCAAGGTCTGTAAGGTAAATCTGTAGTAGTAGTGTGCTGGCCCAAACAGAGCTTATCACATTCTCACATAGCCTAAAACATTGTTGTGCAGCTGCCTGATGCAAGATCTTATCTATGTATTGCACAAGAGTAAGCCTATGCAACATAAGATGAGCTAGAAAAAGAGCTGACATAGCTGATGTCTGAAACCTAAGCTGAAACCAACAGTATGAAACAAAAAATGCAGGTCAAGTCAGAGGGCTACATATCTTAAGTTTCATGATCCATGATCACATTTAGGTTATAACAGTACAGGATGTACATATTAAAAGACCTGGAATAGTTCCAAAATAAATAGTAAGCAAGACGTTGACAATGCGTTTGTTCCAAAAATAGAAAAAACTTAATTGGTACTAGCCTAAAGAAAAAAAATCTAGTAAAAGCCAAACAGCAAAACTTTGTAAAACTCTTAGAAAAGATGTAAAGAGATGTCTTTTGGTATCTAAATGGCTCAATGTCATCACTTAAAACAAATGTGTGCCTATTAAAAAAAGGGTTCCTCAAGGGTTCTTTAGTAAAGACAGGTAGAATGGTTATATGTAAAATCATGACACATAAAGAGCCTTTTCAATGCTTAAATGGTTCTTAGCAGATCAGATAATCTGCCATTCTAATAATACTTCCACAAGTTTACAATAGCCTGTTATTGCATTTTCTATTGCATTTGGTATTAATCATCATCATCATCATCATTATTATTATCATTAGTATGCATATAATTATTATGCATCTTCTTCTTCTTCTTCTTATTATTATTATTACACGTATTATTTTTATTACTGTGTATAATCTCCATTATGGAGAACCTGTTAGTTTTGAAAAGTACCTTTAAAAATGTTTCATTAGCACCAAGAAGGGTCCTGCTGTTGTTGCAAGTGACCAGATGTTTTTGTACTGCATACAGTACTGTGCAAAATTCAGAGACCACCCCCTTAAATTATTTCATTTCTAGTTCAAACAGCCATTAAGCACAAATTAACTTTTTATGAAAAAAAGCAGAAAACTTATATTTAGCAGAAAATTACATGGAAATTGTCACTACTAAATATAATACCATTTTTGAGTATTTAGTGTGTCCAGTCATAGCTTCCATTATTTTTCGGTAGACAGCTCCAAAGTTCAGCCTTAGAAGCTGATCACATTTTCTGCTTCTCACCAAACCCAAACACATTCAGTGATGTTGAGGTCTGGAGTCTGGGGTGGTCAGTCCATTGTTCTGAGAGCACCAGCAGCTTCTTTGTTTTTTTTTTCCATTTTTGTCTGTTTCTATAATTTCCTTTTCTCACTAATGGTTTCATGGTAGCTACACATCCACAGAGTAGAGTTGTCCTCTCACAGTGGAAGGATGGACAGAAAAACCTGTGGATTTTTTCAGAACTAAAGCAGATTTTCTTGTATCTCTCAAAGATGAAAGCTGTATATACTGTTTATCTGAGGGTCACAGTTTTGTTGGTCTACCAGATTTTGCATTTATGCCACTTTTAGAAACTCCTGTTTTTTTTTGTTGTTGTTTTTTTGTTTTTTCCTTTGCCTTTCTCTTCCTAATGCAAGTGAATTATATCTGATCTCTTCAGAAATATCTCTTAGAAATAACTTGTATTTTAACAGCCATTTTGAATGGAAATTAAAAAAGTCTCTGACTTTTGCACAGTGTTGCAGAACTTCTTTGGCTGACTGTGTAGTCTTCTTTTGTTGATTACAAAGTAATCACAATGTAAAGAATCAACCACGGGCAAGTTTGAGCATTCAGTCCCTGGAATACAACACAAGAGAAAAGTAGCAAGGGGTCTTTGTTAAAGAGTGTCAGGGGGGAGCGATTTTATATACACCATGCATGCTGTTTATACATACATACACTGATATATGTCAGTATATTTTATTCATAAAGCACATTTAAAACAACAATAGTTGACCAAATTGTTGTACATAAAGAGAATAATATAAAATATCTAAATCTAAAATTAGAGGGTAACCACAATCAGAAACCATCTGGGACCCACAAAGTTAATTAGAAAGAAAAATAATAATTTATAATAATAATAAAAGGAAATGATAATGAAAAAATTAAATTAAATTAAAACACAAGTTTTAAGTCTTGAAAATGGTAACAGATGAGGGATTTTTAATATTTAGGTGATAGGGATTTAGTCCCACAGCTTCAAAGCAGTGATTACAAAAGAGCAGTAACCCTTAAGGTTCTACTGAGACTGTGGAACAGCCCGAAGTAACTGATGTGAAGATCTCAGAAACCTAGGAGCAGAGCAAGAGTGGAGCAAGTCTGCAGTGTAGGAAGGGGCTAGCCCATTAAGAGCTTTAAAAACAAATAAAAGAACAAAGAACAAAAAACTATTCTCACTCTATTATCTAGTCTATTTAGTCTAGTCTATTATCTGCATTCGGTACTAGCTGGAGGCAAACCAAAGACGAAGTCCTACATACAGGCAACTGCAATAATCTAGACGTGAAAAAATGAAGGCACAAATGACTTTTTCCCAGTCCCGAAATGAAAGAAATGGTTTTATTTTTGAAACTGTACGGAGTTGACAAAAACTACTTTTGACAAGAGAGTTGATTTGCTGGTCAAATTCTGCTCCTAGAATATTTACTTTGTTCTAAGGTATTTAGAAACGCCAAAAACAATAATATCTGTTGTTTTTCTCTCTCTCTCTTAAAAATGACCAAGTTTGTAAGTACCTATACATTACTAATCTGGAATAATAAATTATTGTAAAAATGTAAAAAATATAATCCAAAGACAGCCTTAAATGAAACTGGAGAAACAAAATAACGGTACTGAAAGTCTTCACAGGCATCACATTTTACATAGGTAAAATTTTAAGCAGTTTAGTAGATGCAGAGCGACACTCTGCACTGGTAAGAATTTCCTTAACTAGGTCAGGCTGATGCCTTTCAGTACTACTGTGTGTGGGTGGATAAAGAGTGACAGTAAAAAAAAAAAAGACAAGGTGAAAGGGAAACGTTCTTTTACTGAAAGTGCATTAAGAACAGACTCTCCTTTAGAAACACACCAGTGGGAAGAGGTCTGAGTGACAGGGCTCAAGCGCAGTACTCTAAGAGGACCTTGAAATCTATATTTCACATGCCAATTATGCACACATAAACAAAAAGAACAAGTATCCAGACGATACTGATAAGCAATTATTACAAACAGGAATAATGCTTGTCAAAGCACAAACATGACCCAAGCATAATCAGGACTGATGATCCAACATTAGATCCACATTCATCTGATCAAGTATATTGGGAGAAAGGAGAAACAAAAAATGTGCCCAGTAGGGGTACTCCATGACCAGGGCTGGGAACCACTGCTCTAGATGTGTGAGGATTTTCTTGCATTCAGCCACAAAAAAATTAATAAAGTCACATACTAATGCTGGATCACAAAATCTACTCCAATTCATCCAAAAGGCACTGGACGGCACTCCAACACACCAGAGAATGCAGTTCCACTGCTCTACAGCTTCTAGCCGACGTTAAGCATTGGGCATGATGATCTTAGCGTGCATGCAACTGAAGGCCCGAGTCAGCAGTGCGTGCACCTTAAAGTCATTTTGAACTGGAAATTAAAAGACATTTTCCTTCTGTACCGTGACATGGTTTCTGAGCTAGCTGAGCATTTCACCCAGTGATGGGGGGTGGAAGAAGGGGGAAGTGGTGAGGTCATCAAAACTCAGAAGGTGGGCAAAAGTCACTACACTAGAATCAAAGATCATGGGGGAAACAAGAATCTTGTGTTTTAAATGTAATGGTTTGATGGAGCGTGTTTAACATAACCAGTGAAAAAGTGAAAAAAGATCAATTTTGATTTCATGTTGACTTTAATGTAGCCAAATTCACATATTCACAAAAACAAAAGTGGAGTCTTAATATTTGTGAACATACTGTGAACAATCATCTTGCCTATGTCACAAAACAACAAGCGAGAAAATGACAACTGACCTGAAATAAATCACTGTACCAAAACGGCAATGGAAAATGCATCAACATGCTTGATGCACTTCTTGAGCTTTTGTGGGGGGGGGAGACCGAAGCCCTTTCTATAAAGGATGAAGCCCTCAAAAATGAATTACACATTTTTGAAGACACAAAACAGGTTTTTTTTTGGGGTATCAAATGCATTCGGTCATCAAGCCCAAACATAAACCATGGTGGCCTCTCTAGCCTTTCCAGGTTAGCACTTCGATGACTACAGGCCTCTGGCTAGGAACGACAAGCTTCTTTCAAAATTGCTATTTTAACAGCACTATTCTAGCTATGTATCGTATGACTTTATTAAGAATGATATGAGCTTCATTCAGGTGTGAGTTTCCGCCCCTCATATTTGTTTGTTTACCTCTAGCTAGCTAGCACGCTAATGTTTCGCGTTTCAGGCCTGACAGTGACAGGCGTTATACAATGCTAGCTAACTAGCAACCTACGTTAGTTTTATTATTAAACACACAGCGCATCTGCGATATTTCCCTGCGATTAAAACGCTAAAAATATTTGTCTGCTGTTGAATGATAAAAAGACGTGAAGACGGTATTCACGCGTTTAGCAAGGTCAGTTACTGCAGCGTTTGGTAAGTGATTTTATTTCGACGCAGAGATTACCAAAACATCCAGCTAGCACTGAGCCAGCGCAGCAGGTCAGCTAACCGAGCGAGCCTGCTCATCGTCCACACACATAAACTCAGTAATACAGATACTACTTGTAAATATGCCTTATTGCCACTGCATCACAGCCACTGTCATCACTAGTCTCCTCAGCTTTATGTGTTTCTCACCTTTTGCTGTCGGACCCCCGCAGTGAGGCGTTAGCTGTAGCCTTTCTGTTCATGAAAACAAGCCGAACAGACCAGAGCAACAGAATCAGAAACTGTGGCTCTGACAGCCTGAGCCCAGAATCAACGATGGAGAAAGCGCAGGTAGCAGGGATGGGCGATACCGCTATATTTTCCTTTTCGATACCACGCAATACCAAAGCTAATGTCTCGATACAAACACCAGCACTTTTCAGATTGTTCTTGTGCATATTAAAAAGGGAATACTTTCTGATTTCTACAGTGAAAAGAGTATGTAGACCTGTACGTCAACAATTATAAGTCTGTGTACTAGCATTAAATAAACAGCCCTATAAACAGTTCAGTTGAGTAAAATAACTCAATATGATCTGCCATTTTTGAGCACTGACTCTTGTCTAATGTGGCCTGCACAGATGCAGAGGGAGAGGGCAGAAGGAAAGGTAGTTCCTGTCCTGCACACTTATCTGCTACATTATTATTTAATAAAAACAAAAACAAACAAACAAAAAAAAAAAAAAACATTTTCAGCATCAAAGGCTCATAAAATGAAAGTTATTCAGTTTACTGATCAAATAATATACCCATTATCAAGATTTTAATTTGAGGATCAATTCAAACAAATGGCAGGATTGGAAGTATTGATATAATATGATATATATATATATATATATATATATATATATATATATATATATTTTAATTTTAGGTAATTTCCCTAAGGAAAAAAATGCCTTGTAGTCTCACCTCAGAACTATTCTGGGCTCTGGCTTTAGGCTACTCTCAAAAGAATGAAGACCCAAATGACATTGTGTATGCATTCAGGTTTATTGAAGAAGTAAGATGTTGTGTGGTACCATGTTACCACTTGATTGTGTGATAATGCAAGGCTGGATGATTAATCTATATAAATCAGTTTGAAAGAACTGCAATTTTAAATATATTCTTCATTATTCAGTGAATAAACTTTTCAAATTGTAATTGGGAAACTAATATAATAACTAATGTAATAACACAGAGCTTGTGAGCTGGCAGTATGGTGCACTCAGGCTTCAAAAGTACAAAAAAGGCATGATCTTCCTTGAGAAAAAAAGGCCTGGTGCTTAATTTGTAGAAAAGTGTTGCATGTAATTTGCAATCG